GATTCAGCAGGCAGCTGCGTGGACATATATTGAAATTATTATTCAATAAATAGGATGAAGTTATTTATGCATGCTGAAAATAAACTTTGCATTTTTTATGAAACTGAGCAGAATATCTTGACCTGAGTATATGTTGAAGTATTTTCTATCAAAAGGCTTTTATTATTTTCAGAATACTGTATTTTTTTAATCAAGAAAAAGATAAAAATGTAATATAATGCTTCTTATTGAAGACACATGTTTTTGTTTTCTTCAAACAGTGAAGGAGAACAGGGTCCAAATGGTAGCCAGAACTCTAGTTATAGCCAATCTTAAGGCATTCCAAAGAATTTCTTTATGGACCACTTTGACTCAAGACATCCTGGGATCTTCTCCTGTGTTCATGAAATGGACAGAAGGTTTTAGTAACATCTTGGACAAAGAACTCGAAGAATAAATAGCTTGTTTGTGTCAAGCATTTTGAAAGCTTTTCTCTAAAATTACAACATTTTCTCTGACGCTGGAGCAAATGTGCTAAGATTTTTCAGTGTAAGGAATCAAACGTTAAACCAAGCTGCAAAAGATTAACACTTTTCACTCAAAACAAATAGTTCGTTATTGGTTTTATTTGCATTGAAGTGAACTATTTTTAAAGTGACAGTAACCCGAAGCCTAAGTGTAACTGTATTAATGACTTGTGTTGTCTTCATTTTGTTTGTGACTGAAGGAAGATAGTGCACTGTATGTTAAATCTATTCATTACCTTGAGTTTTGTTGATTTAAAAAAAAATAAATACAGATTCCATAACAAGTAACACACAATCCTTCAGAAACAAATTCCTAGAAGAGCCTGTAAAAAATATTGTGACAGTTTTAATGAAAGCTGCAGGAAAGAAAGTCAGTTTCCTTTTTTGGATTTAAAAAAGCTGTTTTCCTCAGTAGACCTACTTGGATGCTTTTGCCATGATGAGAGTAGCCCAGCTTACCAGAGAAGTGCAATATGTATAGTGATTCTGCAGTTTTCTGAAACATTTCAAGTGTCAGGAATTAAGAAACCCCAACATACCAGGATTTTTTTTTTTTCCCGGATAAACATACTGTATGGTACAATCGGAGTATTTCACAATCAAGTACAAATCTGGATATGATTGCTATTTTTTATGGTGTATTTTTTTTGTAGAAAAGATATACACTGTTAGTGTGCCTTCACTGTTAGTGTGAATTTGTGTGGTTCATTAGAGAGTTTATTTAAGAGGATCATGCATTCGGTAAGCTTCATACTGACTAATTTTAATTGGAATGTTAGGAGCAACTCTAGAATAACTGAAATGGGATTCCTTGGTTAACTTTGTGCTGGAGAAAATGAGATTCCTTCAAGTAGAAGGCCATATCCTGTGTTCCTTACTCAGGCAGATATCCCACTGAAGTCAGGAATTGGCCTAAATTGATTTCTTGAATTTTTTTCTTTTTTTAGATAACTTTGTTTTTAATTAAGTTCTGTACAACTTTATTTTGAATGATAATGCCAACTTGCCCAAGTACAAAAATTGAGTGATAAAATAAAGTGTAGTAACATAGTTATCTTTTTTTTTTTTTTCCTCCTGAAACAACACATTTCACTGGTCTGAAATTCTGGAGGGAGATTCTTGAAAACCTGTGCTCTGTGACACGTCTTGGTTCAAAAAACTGGCCACTTAAAAAAACCCCACCTATTTTTGCAAATGCCTGTCTTTGTAATTGGCTGGTCATTCAGTGAAATATAACTGATGAGTGTTTGTATGTTGCCCATTAGGCTACTCACGTTTATTTCTGTTCAGATTATTTCCATAAACCATTAAGTAAACAAGCCCCAAACACTTTGGTGAGATCGAAAATATATACAGTTTGGTCTTTGCTACTTTGTTTGATCCATACCTTCTATAGACACTTGATTGATGAAGTGGAATTTGGCTGTTTTGCTTTCATTTTTTGAAGTCTAAAATGTGCTATTTGTAATGTGGACTTGGGGAATAGAAATAAATCAAAGCAACTTGACCTCTGTTGTGTAGAGTTCTTAAACAGGAACTGTTCTTCAGGCAAACATCAGTCTTCTCACATATACCACATAATCTGCCAAGAATGCTCATGTTTAGGAATTAGGGATGTCACACTATTAATGAAGAATTCTGGCTGGAGTGATTAAATTTTTTCTTGCTGCACAAGAGCCTTTGCAGATTTTACTTCACACTTAAATCACAATGTGACCTAAACCTCAGAGATAAAATGTCAGGCACTTCTGGATGGTAACTAGAAGTTTCTCTGCATTCTCTGCTGGGGAGGTGAGGATAATTTTACCAGCTCTGATTCCAATGTAAAAGTGAAAGGCAGTAAAATGCAGTCAAAGGAACTGGATTCAGTGATGACAGTTTAAAAAAAAAAAAAAAGATGTAATTTGGAACAACAGGAAATGCAACACAATGTGAATTCAACAGCCTTGCTACAAAGCAGGCATAAAAAAAATCACCTTTCTTGTGCTTCATTTCAAAGGAGAGGTGCATAAAAATATGATATCTCATTAAAAGGGAGGTAGCTGAAAGTCTTCATAGATGATACGGCTGCAGGTGACAGTGGAGTGGCAAAGCAAACACAGGCCATCTATGCCAAAAAGACTTCAGGAAAAATCCCAAAGGAAGCAAACTGAACTGGATCAGACGAGTTAGGTAACGCAAATTATATTTACATAAGGAAGATACAGAGGAAGACACAGAAAGGATCATTAATTTGGCAAGCTACCAATAGTTTGAGAAACATCTTGTAAAAACTACCCACACTAATAAAAAATGAAAATAAAAAAGAGGTACATAGTAGCTTTCCAATTAAAAAAACCCACACAACTCTTCATCTCAGAAAAGACAGCAGTGGTCTAGAAAAATCATGACTGGTGTGAAGACTGATGAGGTGACAATGTTTCAACTTCTGACAGAAACATCTGGAGCAGCTGATGAAAAAAATAATGGCAAGTTGAGAAGCAACAAAACGAAAGATTTCTTATGTTGTTGAACCCAGTGAAGCCTGCTATGTCTGCTGGGAGTTAGTGCTGAAACTATACAAGTACCCAAATATACCAAGACATGCAAAGCCTGAAGGAAGTATCAAAACACTGTGTTGTAAATGAGAGTAATCTGGGGATTGTATCACTACATACTAATCCTGTGTTATGCTCTTCCTCAGATGCTTCTTACCAGTTGCTGCCAAACAGAAAATAATGGGCTAGATAGATGTGGTGTGGCACAGTGTAACTGCTGTTTATTTTCTGTGGCTATGTAGTTTTAGGTGTTCCCAACAAACTTTAGTGTAGCTACAAAAGGAAGCATTGGCTGCTTCTGACTAAACACTGACTGTTTGGTTGATTAGATTGCCTTGCTTTATTCATTTGTATACTGAAGTTTGGTGGCTTGATCAATACAGCTAAGCATGATTAATTTATACACTCAGGTAAATGTTCTCAGTGTCTCTCAAATCCTCTGTATAGTCTGACCTTAACGATCTTCAAAAGGCATCATTAGTGCTGCTGAAGCCCGGCACAACACAGCAAACAATGGGTTTCTGTTGCTCCCTTGATCACATGCCCATAACATTGTGAAACCAGCAGTCTAGGTCATGTTAAACAGGCAAAATTAATGGATTGTAGGATTTGCCTAACTCCAAGGGAAGTGTTAGCATCCATTACTTCTCCTGATCCAGTCTGAAAAAGACCTTCTCAAGTAAGATAGTGAGAATTGCAGAGTAATTGACTACAACAAGGTAACACCCATGCTCATCCTGGCATTTTAATTTCATCTTAGTCCCATTAACAACATAACATCAGTTATACCAAACCAGTATTTTGAAAAATAGTCTAAATTCTGGTTCTAAAGTTGTTTGGGTATTTTTTATGGACTGGAAATACAGTGTAGCAATAAGACACTAAAAATCAATAATACTATGAAGAAAAATGCACTTATTACTCACTATTCTGACAGCTACTTACTAGCAAAGATGAGAGTACAGAAATCCCTGTAAGACACCATCAGAGCAGCACAGCCAACATAGCTGGCTGTGCCAGCTACGGGGGTTCTCCTTTAGAAACCAATGACTGCAGAGGCTGCAGAAATAAAATTCTAGTAATGTTTGTTATCTTCTCAGTTCTCTAAATTTGAGAGGGCATATTTTCTAGGTCCTCTTCTAACCATGCAGGTTGCACTGCCAGAATGGAACAGCTGTAGGATAAGTGCACATTGCCTGCAATACCACAAATTTCAATTCCTTTTTCCAGACATCCTACAGAGTCCTAAACTTCTGTGCTAGAGCTTTATTTTATAGAAGCCAAAGCAATTCACCTTCGCAAATCCCCTGAACTGCTACAGCATTAAATAAATTTTAAAAATTCCTTAAAATTATGACTATGCACATTTTTAGGTGACAATGGGTTGGTATGTTTTTTAAAGTTAAGACATGCAAATTACTGTATATAGAAGAAGGAAAGTGGTTTAGTGACTTCCTTGGACACCTCTAATTTTCCAGCCTAAAATTATTACATCTCTGTAATAGTAACTTCAAGTGTAGGCAAGTTCTCGCTTGATAGTGAGAGCTGCTGAGAGAACAGAAGTGTTGACTTAACAAATGTTACAGCACTGTGGGCTCAGAAGCAGATCTGCTTATGAAAGTGGATATACTTTTAAAATAAGGATTCACACAGCATTTTGAACAGTGAGTATTCTAGCATCAAGTCAGTTTCCATATGTGCACTGAGATTCTCTTCACATGCATTCACCAAAAGCACTGGCTAAAGTAAAGGTTGAAAGGTTGAACAAATGTAATGTCCTCTGTTCATGTCCTAGTCTTTACATGTAATTTAAACCCAGCAGTTGATATGCACGGCCATTTGAAGGTGAATGTCCATTCACACAAGAAGACAGGAGTGAGCTTTATTCTGGAAGTGGAATGCACACAGTTTGAATGCTAAAACCATCCTGAAGCCTTGATGCAGTAAGGGTCGGGGCAGTAATCTTCATTTCTTTTCTGGAGGTTCATGTTTTACCCAGTCCTCAAAGCCACCAGCATAGTGCTGAACTCTGAAAATACGCAGAGATACCTTTTTCAAGAAGAGTCCTTCTTAATATTGTATCTTAAGAGGACATGGCAAAAAAACCTAAACCAAACCAAACCAAGAAAAAAACCCCAACAAACCAAAACCAATCAACCAAAAAAAAACAACAAAAAAACCCCACCATAACCCCAAAACCACACTGAAAAAAAAGAGGGAAAAAAATAAACATAGAGAAATTCGATGGGCATCCCCCGTGCTCTAATACTGCCTCCTTCCATGCAGTGTGTTCTGTTCCTCTTTTTTTCCAAATGACACAATGCTGGAGATCAAACATCAAGCAAGAAATAGCAGCTAGATCAATGAAACAGTTTTTTAAAAAAGTGAGAACAGACTCTCTGCAGTGGAAGATTTATTTGCTATTGTGTCTAATACTTCAGATGTCGTCAAATAAATACAGCACAACAATCTTTACTTCCTTGCAATCTTACATGCTCTATAGATCTGACATAAACCTGCACAAAACTTAATTCTGGAAAAAAAAACCCACCATGCAAAACAATACTGACTCCTTTAATTAGGCATTACGAAAAACAGGTAATGGAGGATATTTTGCACTTTGAAACAAGAATGTTGTTCCATACTTTTGACTAGAATTGGTAGGAATATTCCAGTTCATGAACTGCAGTTCATGAAAGCATGAGCAAACAACCAGTGTCTTAAATTTTACCTGCAGTCTTCAAGCCAGCAAGGCACCTTCCAGCATGGATGTAACAATTCTGCCAACCAAATGCTGCTTTTGATTTCACTCTATCATAATCTCTTTTTTTTAGCTATTGCCTTGACTGCTTTACTCCTGGAAAACACTCCAAAGCTTTACTGAAAGTGAAGGTGTACTTTGTCAACAGTGAACTGTACAGGCAGAACTGTAATTCAACAAAGGGTGTGGTTTCATAAAATATTTAAGATTGTACTTCTACCAAAGCAAACACCTCTCCACCTTTCTAATCATCCTGCATCTTAGGACTAGTACTTATGAAGCTGTATAATGAAGCAATGTCTCAGCAAGGGAGCTCTTCAGTGACAGTGTGGTCTTAGAGCAGTTTGCATCACCTGGAGCACATGCACAGAGCTGCTGACGGGTTGTGTTCAGAGGACAATACACCTCACTTTCCTGGAACACCCAATGGCATCTTTCAAGGGTAAGGGAGACATGAAGAGGTGTCTATCTCAAACACCAATTGTTTTCATATTCCCCATGTAAATTTTTACCCTTGCCCACAAGGTGAGTACATGTTCTGCTTCATGAGGGGTGGCAGCATTAATCCCATCCTTACATACACAAGTCATACCTGCTGAAACCCAAGGACATGGCAAAACCAAGTGCTTGTTTACTTCTTGTTCCTGCCAAACAGGAGAAAACCACAGGGTCTGACTTGGATGGCATCTTTTGGTTGTACTGCTCCTTGAACTCCATTGGGTCCATTTGTAGAGCTTCCACTAACTCGCCCACTGGGAAACACAGAAAGCAAAGTAGTATTTATTGTCCATCCACAGACAGACTTACACTTCAAGGCTTCTAATTCCTCTGGAGGAAAAGTTCAACCTCACCACATACCAGCAGCTATCTAGCACTGCTGCTCTTGGCTCACTCACCGCCACATGTCCTGAGCCTTGACCATCAAGCCAAGAGGAACACTCAGCGGCGTTCAAAAACTTACGCGGGATGTTGATGGACTCTGGTATTTTTCCAAACCTGTCGATCTCCCACCTCTCCCGCACGTCAATGTGGAGCACGTTGGTCTTCTTCAAGTCTTTGAGCTCCCGGTAGGAGAGGCCGAGCTCCCCGCCGGCGCACAGGCTGCGGCTGCTGGGACCTGCCGGGGAGGCACAGCCCGTCAGCCGCCGCAGGCCCCGCGCCGCGGCCGCCCGCCCGGGCGAGGACACCTCCCCTGAACGCAAACACCTCCATCCACACCGGGCTCCCCCCGGGCGCCGCCAAACCTGACCCCGCCCGCCCCCCGAGAGACGCGGCGGCCACCCCGGCCCTGCCTCACCGGGCGCTGCCGCCAGCAGGGCCCGCGCCGCCCGCCACCAGCTCCCGAGCACCATCCCGGGACCGGGCCCGGCCCCGCCGCTCCCCGCCCGCCGCCAGCGCCAGCGCCCGCCCCGCCGGCGGGGAGGAGACACCGCCTGCTCCTCGGGGGCGGGGGCTCGGGGGTTTGATCGCCGCCGGCCCGAGCAGGGACTCGGGAAGCACCCCCGGGAAAGCCAGGCGGGGCACCTGCCCGCAGCGGAGGCAGCCTGGTAAGGCAGCCGCCGCCGCCTCCGTTTCGGTACACCCAGCTACCGCCGCCTTGCCTGGGTGATTTCTACCACTGAGCCAAGCTGTCGAGAAGCCTTAAAGTACCAAAGGCTGGGAGTCTGAACATGGATGGGAAATTTTGATGCCAAATCTACTCAAAGTGATTAAAAAACCCCCACACTACCAGAAAAAACAAACAAACAAACAAACAAAAACCAAACAACAAACCACAACAGAAAACAACCTCTGAGTGTTATGTCCGAGGAGAAAATGGGTTTCAGCAATGGCCTGCACCCCTTTCATCACAGTCACTGTCCCCCTACAGCCACAGGAACGTGGTCCAGGCACCGATCTCCTCTCTGGTGACCAGTGAGAGGACTCGAGGGAACAGCCTGAAGCTGCATCACAGGATGTTTAGGTTAGACATTAGGAAAAGGTTCTTCACCCAGAGGGTAGTCGGATACTGGAACAGCCTCTCCAAGGAAGTGGCCACGGCACCAGACCCACCAGTCCAAGAAGCGTTTGGACAGCACTCTCAGGCACATGGTGTGATTCTTGTGGGTTTGCTGTGCAGGGACAGGAGTTGGACTCAATGAACTTTGTCTGTCCCTTCTAACTCAGGATATTCTATCATTCTATGATCCCTAGTTTCAATACCCCTTGATTTTGAAAGCTGTCAGTCTCCCAGCCACAAGGACTAATGACCAAGCCATGTAGGTAGAGAAATGAGGGTCCTTCCATTCCACACATTTTAAATCAATACTCTGTATTTACTGCATACTTTTACATATATTTTACATACCAGCAGTTCCAGTCTTTAAAAGCAGGCATGCTGGATCTTTTTGTAAAAGATGCATTTTGAGGAGTATGTTGTTGAATCTTTATTAATAAGAGTTTTCCTTTTCAAAATAAGAACAAAATATTTCTTGGTACTGTAAAGTGTGACAAATTGAACTTGGCACATATAACTGGTTCACTAGCTGCCCTTCTGCCAGCCTCTCCATATGGCCTCCTTGACAGGCATTTGCAAATTGTCTTTCTGAAGCAGTACATCTCTATGTGACTTGAGGTTTCATGCATTTCCCATTTTCCACAAGGTCTGTGTAGAATACACTACTTCTAGAAATTATATTTTGAAATATAATCTACTGTATATTTTATCTGTAGTAAAATAATGTCCAATGGTTAATCTCCACTTACTGCATGTATCACTGTAAGGACCAGCATTCAATGTGAAGCACCAGGATACTTGTCATATGAAATGCGTGTTCACTTGAAACTGCATTTCTGTGTTTTTAATTTGACCCTGGATCATGCTGTGTACACAAAGCAAGAATACACTAGTTTGCTTGCAGAAATAGGAACCATCCACCATCCATCTTGTGAAAGACTGAGAGTTTGAAGTCAAAAGAGATCAAGCTTGGCAAACTCCTGTGGTTTGATGAAAAAGTGGGAAGCAGCACATTCAGTTCTGCTTTTGCTTTCATGGCACTGCCATTCTGCACTCACTGTACCCTTCCTCAGCAGCTTTCTTCATTTCACCTCTTGGGACTCTCTTCATTTCACCTTCACTTCACTCTCCAGTTCTGCACAGTTCTACACACTCATTCCCAGTGGTGTAATTTCCCAGACCATTACCCAGCTGCATTTACCCTTGCACATTCTTTATCCCCATCTTCTCATTTGACTGAAGACTATGTTGATCAAAGAAAAGGTTCACTAACCTAGGGTTTCATTGTCTTACTGCCTTTCTGATTTTTTGATTACCGCATCTTTTTTTCCTATCATCTGACTTTTTTGCCTTCACATGGTTTGCAGTCTGCCTGCAGATCTTTGAGCTCACTTGTCACCACGGTCACTGATGTGCCTGAAGAATTCCTCCTACCTAAATCAAATTCTACTTAATCTGTCAACCTCTTTCAGTAATAATCTTCTTGACATCTTGTCTTTGCTTGGTCCAAAGATTTTTCACCTGTTTCTCTAACCATGGTTTCAGTTTACTTGTCAGCAGATCCTCTACAGGTTCTCCATCCTTGGTTCTAGAGGAGTGCCACAGCAACCCTTTTCCCTTTTTACTCTATGCCTTATTACTGGGTAATCTTATTCCAATAAAACTATTTCTCAGTCCTTAATTCAGATGTGCCTTCTGCCCAATAAAGCCACCTCTGTTTTCTAGCCACTTGCTGAGTTTAATCCCAATCCCAGTTTCCACTAGTTCCTCGAGTGCTGGACACCCTTTACTCTGCCTGTCCTTCAGCGGGGATATGCACCTTTGATTCTGATCTCTCTCCAGTCCCTCCCGCGGTGGATGCCCTGAAAATCCACGCAGGGCCCAGCCCTTGCTGTGTAACCTCTGGGCACGGCTGTCCGCACCCCTGCGCGGGCACAAACCAAGCGCAGCATCTCCAGCTCTTCCACGAAAACTCAGACGTGAAGGGTCACACCACCACGTCTCCCTTCTTTTGCACCCTCTTCGCCCCAAGTTTCTAAGGTGCCCTGCAGCCAGACCCGCTGCTCCCTGTCGCCTCTCAGCGGGCCCGCCGTGCGCTCCCGCTCACCATGGGATGGCTCCGCTTTCCCACGGCCCTCCCCACCCGGGACACGCGTTCTGCCCTCAAACCAGAACCAACCCGCCCGGGAGCGGTCCGGCCAGCGGCCGGGACGGGAAGCGGCGCGGCCGGGGGCGGAGCGGAGCGCAGGGGAGCGGAGCTTCCTCCGCCGCTTCCTGCCGCCGCCGCGCCCGCCGCCGCCGCCCGGCGCTCCGTGAGTGCGGGGCGCGGGGAGGGGGGGCTGCCGGCACAACGCGGGGGCGCCGCGTCCGGCCGGACCCGCCCTGCGCAGCCGGGGGGGATTGCGGGGCCGTGGCCGGAGCGCCGGGTCCGGCCGGGCCGGGCCGGGCCGATCCGCCCCACCATGGCGGCAACCGGGCCCGCGGCCTGCGGAGCCGCGTCCCGGGGGCGCTGGGCTGGGGGCGGGCGGAGGGGGCTTTGCCCCGGCGTGGCCCTGGGCCAGGCGAGCCCCCCGCGCCGCTGCTGGGAACACCTGGGGCTGCGCTGCCCGCGCTGCTCCCGCGGGACGCCGGGCTGGGGGCCGAGCGCCGCTCTTGCTGGGTCGCCGGCGACGAGCTGCTGGTGGCGGCCGCCCGCTGTCGGTGTGAAGCGGGTTAAGCCTGCCGGGACACGTCCGGGACCCGCAGCGCGTTTGTTCCTGTGTTACATTGAGGAGAGGTGGTAGCAGCGCCTGAACACGCGCCCCGGTCACTTGGCGCTGGGCCCGGGGGTACGAGGGTGCCCCGGCCGCGTGTGGTGCGGCCAGCGCGGCTGCTGCGGCCCCGCCGTGTCGGCCTGGAGCTGCCGCGGGGTCGGTGCCCGGCGAGCGCGGACCGGCCCGTGCCCCCCGCTGGTCCCGATGGCAGCCCAGGGACGGTCCTCGCGGTTAAGCGGAGGGAGACGTGGTATTTTAGACACATAGCTGCGACTCTGCAGGTTGTATTTGACTTGATGTTGGGATTCTCTTGATTCCTGGCCTTCTTTATTTTTTTTTTCTTTTGCTGTGATGTCCTTTACTTTAGGACTTCATCCTGCCCTTGCTATAGATATGTTGCTACTCGCACTACGTAGCACTGTATTCTAGCTGCACCTCATCTTTAACTGCAGGTATTTCCCAATTCCATGAAATAGTCCTCTCATATGAGCGTACAGAGCAGAGTTGTAGTTAAAGGATTTGTATTTATTTATTTGTATTTAAAGGATTGTTTCTGCTTTCATTTTCTAACTTTTAAGTGGGAGTATAGTAGTGGTACTATCCTGGTAGCATGTGCCAGATTGAAGCAGAATATGCCTTTGTGAAATTGTTTTGGTGTTTACTACATTTGTAAATATTTTGTCAGCTTTCTTCATGAAATATTGAAGAACTGATGCTCTGTATTTTCTTTTCTGAGAGAGTCACAGAACTGCAGTTCAGGAGTTCTGTTTTGAGCATCGATTGTAGATTGAGGACAAGTTGTTCCACTTCACACGTGTCATCAAAGCAAATTGGGGCAGTTTGTGTGGAGCAAGAAAATGAAATGAAATGAATTTTTTTTGTTATGGTGGCAAGACTTAGGCTTTAAAAGAGTTCAAACTAGTTTTCAAATTTATGGTTTTATCTGTTCTACCCTCATTACTTAACTGATTCTCTCAACACCCTTCCAGAGTATATGGGAAGTTATACACAGCCGTTGTCTTCCTTTATCTGCTCTAACTCAGCCATTTAGGAGAGGTACAGCAGCAGCCTTAGCTTAACGTACGGTCTTGTGTGGGTTTCAGCCTTCTGTCTCACACACATGCTGCAACCACAGTTCCTTTTTTATTTTCCTGAATTCACAGAATTAGCATTTCTCTTAAGTTCATCCTTTGCTCATTTTGTCCTTCATGTTCTCTGACCAGCTTTCCCCCAGTTTTTGGCCACATAGTTGTCCTACAAAGGTACTGTGCTTTCACTGGTTACTCTCCACCTGTTTCAGTTGTTATACTCTCAAATTTTCTGTGGTGATGGCACTGTTACATCGGTGTTCATGTCACAGGAGTGCACAGTCTGTCAGCTCTGTCCTCTGACTGCTTTTTCACGTACAAAGTTTTCACTTGCAAGCCATCATCATTAGTTACAAGCTCTGGCTCTTTTTATGATACTGTGTTTTCCTTTTAAAGCGTAAATTTTCTTGGAAAATCCATGCTGGACCATCAGCACATCTACTCAGATGTTTTTCCCTCTTGGTGTGTCCATAGTTTTTTAAAAAATGCATTTAATATGGGATAGAGAACATAAA